TATTTTCCTACGATCATCCATACGTGTCACGAGAGACACCTCCTTCACTTCAACAACCCTGATCTCTTATTCCTTGTTCATGTAGAGATTCTTCATCGCTCAACAGTTCTCGAGAACTGACGGAATTACGAGACAATTAGAAAAAAATTTCATTAGGGTGAGTTGTCATATGGATTAGTTATGGTTTGCTACTATTGAATTTTTGCTCAGACTCGTGTCACAATTGGCTTTTATATGAAACTGCTTTTATCATCTGTCGGCACACCTTTAATATGACCATATGGTTAAACATAATGACGAGATTTGTATTTTTATTATTTTATTTTGTTCAGTGGCCCTTTCTATTTATATCGCAACATATTTTATGCATATTTCTAATCGGGGAAAAATTAAGGAATCCATACACTCGAATTTTGATTGGTTAACTGAGTGATAAGAATTCCATCTGCATCTCATTTAAACATTTTCCCATAGTTCTTTGAATTCCAAAGGACTTGTATAATAAACTGGCCACTTCCAAGGGATCGTCTTCTCCCGTAACTCATACGATCCAAAAAGAGGAGAACCGTTTTAGAACACGCTTTATTTTTTTTTCTATTGTAATTGCTGTTATTGCATATTTTTTGTCTCGATATCCATTTTTTAAAATGGCTGATACAGGAAAGCGTCAAGTTTTGCCTACTAATGTTAGACCAACCCACTACGACTTGACTTTAATTCCGGATCTTAAGTCCTTTACCTTTGAGGGGACTGAGACTGTCAAGTATGTAAATTTTAATTATCTGTCTCAGTATTGGGAATATTATACACTTGCGCATTAGATGATATTTATGTAACTTGTATTTCAATAGTCTCGATGTTAAACAAAATACAAAAACTATAACCCTTAACGTGAATGACATTCAAGTCAAGTCTGCAAGGCTGTCAAACTTGTCTTTGAAGACTAATCAAAGGTATTTAATATTATTTAATAAATTTACTTAATAAATTTATTTAATATATGGGGCCGAATTAATAGAAAAAGGCAAATTTTTGTAATAAAAAATTCTTTTTTAAAACTTTGAATAAAGATAAAAAAAAAATTTAAAAATTTTACTGACTTATTCTCGTATTTGTTATTACATCCATATGTTTAACGTAATTTGCAAATGGTTTTTGTAATACAGCCAGAATTCTATAGATATTTCTCACGATACTCAAAAGCAGACTGTCACTCTGACTTTTCCTGAGGAACTTCCTGCCGAAGCTAAAGCATCATTGCATCTTGAATTTACCGGGATATTAAATGATAAAATGGTTGGTTTTTATCGAAGTTCTTATCAAGACGAGGCTGGAAATACAAAGTATATATTCCTAAATATTTTCGATTCTGAAAAATATATACATTCATTTGATTATAAAAATATTTCTGTTAATCTTTATTTAGATATTTAGCTACGACTCAATTTGAAGCAACTGATGCACGCCGTGCTTTTCCTTCATGGGATGAGCCTGCAATTAAAGCTACCTTCGACATCACATTAATTGTTCCGTCTGAGTTGACTGCTTTGAGTAATATGAACGTGATCTCCGAAACTCCACATGAGGATGGCAAAAAATGTGTCAAGTTTGCAACAACTCCAATTATGAGTACTTATGTATGTTTTAAAATTTTCTTGATAATGATTATTTAGAGTACTAACTCAACTAACTCGGTATCAGTTGGTCGCATTTATCGTTGGTGATTTGGCTTATGTTGAGACTTCTACTACCGGTCTTCACAACGGTGGAAAGCCTGTTTTGATTCGTGTTTACGCGACAAGAGGCAGCGAACACCTTGGTCAATTGGCTTTGAATGTTGCTGCGGATGTTTTGGAGTACTTTGCTGAAGGTACTGGTAATTTTGGGTTTGTTTTTGGCTATATCTTTTATTTAATACATTTATATAATATTTACAGTCTTTGACATTCCATATCCACTGCCAAAGTGTGATATGGTTGCTATTCCGGACTTTGAGGCTGGTAAGTTATCTTATCTGATTGTATTATGAGCTTCTATTTTTTATATCAAGATGTATTTACGCTCTTTTAATCTAGGTGCTATGGAAAATTGGGGTCTTATTACTTATAGAACTGCTGCTATATTATTTGATCCTAAAGCATCTGATGCTAAGTTCAAGCAACGTATTGCATACACTGTTTCGCATGAGTTAGCTCACCAGGTAGATATTTTTTTAACTAAATTATATTGTAAATTATCTTTATTAACTTAAGAATTGAATAATTACGATGAAAGTGGTTTGGTAATCTCGTGACTATGGAATGGTAATTAATTATTATATATC